GTCGAAAATGATGAATTTCAATTACCGTTTTTCATATGAGAACAGCGACTGCGAGGGACGGTAAAGAAGCTGTGGGATGCTTACTTGACACACTTCCCATAGACCACATAACTGGATCTCGAAATGGCTGCGGAAAGATCTGATACGAGATTCTAAAAATGGTCACGAACTTTTGGGACAACCTAATATTATATACGGGAGTACATATTCGGACCCCCAGAGCGTCAGAAGTGTTCGCAAGGAGTCATGGAAAAACCGGTTGTGAACAGAGGGAGGGGCATCCTATAATCTCCGCGAATCTCGGCAGTTTCCAAAGCGAAGCACAGGCTGAGTCTCCGCACATCATGTGCGATAAGTGAAGAGATTTCGGAGTTTTAGAGTTCTCATGCCAAGTACGGTACTCTTCTTCTTCAGCGTTTGTCCCGCACTGCAGCAGGGTCCGCTTGCCTTATTTTGTCACGCCACTTCTCCCGATTAAATGCTTGATCGGGATGGGTGCCAACCACCTTCAAGTCCGCATGCAACGTGTCTGACCAGCGCTGCTTGGGGCGTCCTCTAGCCGCCGCTTTCCGGGAACTTCGAGCTCAAGACCAATCTTACGGGAGCAGTGGTTCACAATTGCGCGAAGACCGTGCCATACATCGAAGGCGAGCTTCGCGCATTTTCTCGGCCACAGGAGCAATACCGAATCTCTTCCTTATGTCGTCATTGCGTATGCGATCCATACGCGTGACACCGGCGGTCCATCGCAACATTTTCATCTCCATGACTCCTAGGGCGCTTCAACTTCTCTGGTCGTAGGCCAACATCAGTATCTATAGGGGGGGGGCAAAAAAAAGTCACTTTCCTTTCATTGACTTTTGAGCGCGCTAAAAGTACACACAACCTTTATTCAAATTCTCATGGACCTTTTTATCACCGAATATTAAAGAGCGCCATTAAACTTCGAGCGACGCGATCGTGATATACAGGGGGGAGGGCCAAAAAAAAGTCACTTCGACACTTCGACCGAGTCACATATCAGCAAAGTTTTCGCTGCCCAGAGAGGACGTGGATACGAGTACCAGGGCGGAAGATACCCAAGATGTTCCTCGATAAGCAGGAGCTGGCTCTCGCCCATCACCTTCATGTACACCAAAATATGAAGTCATCTCCAGTCGCAGCCTGACAGAAGACCTTTGGAATTCATGTCACCTCCAAACAGCTGCGAAACTTCTAGTATGGAGTCACCCATGGATAGCTACCTGGAGAAGACGCCACTTGATGGTAGGGCGGACGTACCTGGAATGGAAAGACCGATATTTTCTTCGTGGGCCCCGGACTGAAGGTGAGCGCTGGCGGTTACATCGAGCAACTCGAGAAGAATATCCTCTCCACATGTCGTCGCCCGTACCTTCTTGGAAACTTTGTACTGCTACAGGATTGGGTGACACCACATGGAATCAAAGGGCGTTGGGAAAACTCTTGCCTACTTGGAATGGAAGGGCGTTGAGTACCTGAAGAAGGTGGAATATCTAAGCAGGTCACCTGACCTAAACCCCTCAATTACCTGGTTCGGGCGGAGTTCAATAGGGTGGTCTACAGTGGCGGAGAAATCAACGATCGCTGAACTCAGGCACCCACTCACGGTCGCGTGGCAGAATCTCTCGATGGCGCTCCTCCAGAAGGCTGTGGCGGAGTATCATGATAGTATTTAATATGCTCTTAATATGGTGGTAGAAATGTCCGATAAGAATTTAATAAAGTGTAACTTATAGCGCCTCGAAAGTCAAGGAAGAAAAAAGTCTTTTTTTGCCCCCCCCCCTGTAGATGGCTGGGCACATCCTACTATTGGCGGTAGATATTTTCGGAATACGGCCTCCCTTCCAAAACTTCCTCCTCTGGTATGACCCACTTTCCCCATCTGCCTTGCTATTACCATCTCCCCAATTTCTCCGCAGATTTTGTCACTTTATCCTGAGCATTTTCCGAAATACTCATTCTTTCTCCAAAAGACTGCTATCGAGAGAGGGGGAGGTGCCCACGCGAAACGGGAAAAGCTAGGTTAATTCTTAGGAAATTTTCTCACACTAATTAAGTCCCGTTATGGCGTTGCAGCGACCATACGACCATTCTCGCTGGCGACTCGTAACATGCGACGTGGACATGATAGTTCACTATAGCGTCAAGTGGATTTTTTCAATAGATATGACTTGCTGAATGCGGGATCAGGCTAATCCCACCGATAAATATTGAGGTCTTCATGGAGAGAGTAATTGATTTTTGTAATTTTTAGGCCTGGCTGCAATACGATACGGTAATAGCAAACGCTAAAAGCACATATTTCATTAGTAACAAAGTCTAGAAAAGAATATCGGGCGAATGTTGTTGCGTGAGGAACCGGAAAATGAACGAACGGAGAATGTGCAGTCATTCCTAGAGAATAATAAGGCGATCATCAATAACAATCCTCATAAGAGGAGAACTCGTGCCTCCAGCGCGGTCGATGTGGCGTAAGCATGAGATTTTGGCTGATTGCCGAGCTGATCCTTGTTTTCTGCTCTTCTAATCCCTGGCATCACTTGGCTCAGCAGTCAGGGTACGTCGCTAGTTGGGGGGGGGGGACCGGAGAGGTCGTTTTCCTTTAGTGAAGGGAGGGAGATCTTAGTCGTTTTCGAGGAAAATGTTCTCGACTGTTGACTTTTCTCAATTTTTCGCGTCTTGTAAACTGCATCCCACCAGACGGGAAGGCAGATTTTGGAATAAAAGTGGGGAATGTCAGGAAAATTTGGGAAAATGGTAGATAAGGGAAAGGAGCTGGGTTGCACCAGAAAGGAAATTTCGAGAGGATGGCGTCATAGTTTGCAAGGATTTTCACATCTGCAGGACGTGCCCTGAAAGCTGTGCCAAAGCTGTAATCCAATGGTTTCCAGGGCTGTTTGGTGGTGCCACTTGGAGAGAGCTATGCACTCATAACGAAATTCTGGACCAGTGAATATGAAGATCACATCCGAAATGAACAGGGAAATCATGAGAAAGCTGACTCGGTTTCCCCAAATATTTCAGCCGCTTTCTTTAGCTGAAGCCGTCCGGATGAGCCGAGGGCCAAGCGCGAGAAAATATGCAAAAATGGGCAGGTTCTCTTTCCGCAGAATGATGATGTGATCCTGCGTCTGCTACAACTAGTAGCAAATCCGATCTAGCTGCGCTCCGAGCCAATCCACTTCGTTTCGCAGTTCGAATAGTTAACTGAATTATGTTCCACCCTTCCTACCCCACGCCCCCCCCGTATGCTGGCGGGAAAAGAAAGAATTTCCAGCTCGCTCTGCAGTGTCCAGAGAAAAACAGTACGATGTATATAATTCATTTATAACAGCACTGCAGTCACTAGGAGCAAGGCACGCGATTTGCCGGTAGAGCACAGAGGAAGTTGGACGCTGCAGTTGGTGCGGCCGTATTCCATTGTCCCATGAGAATGTCCATCCATGCTACACCAGGAACGACAACCACCGGTTCTGCAAAAAAAGAACAGGTCAAACTCGTAGCCTTATAACTATATAAGTGGATAAGCACTACTGGATAAGTATTTACCGCCAGGTGCCCAGTTGTGGTACGTGGAAGGATTGCCGTCACTCCACGTGAATCCAGACATCATTAGATTGGAATAGCCCAACATCACCTTTCCACCTGTTCCAGGTCCTTTGAGAATCTCTGAAGAATTAACAAATAGCGTTAAAGCAAAATATTGCTATTGATATTGGTATTGCTTTCCTTGTAATAGTTCAAGGAGATGAACCGAAGTCTGGTTATCATCCCCTAGAGGCGCACTCTATGTTGGCGATATGGAGGGGTGCAATCAGGCCTGAGTAGCCTCTACCGCTACGCCTCTTTCATTGGCGAGCTCCTGCTCGTTACGCCTCAGAGGGAGGAGCGCACAAATGTGGAAGTCACAATGACAACGGTTAAAAAAAACAAGGAAAGCTCAATTGTTAATTGTCTCCGCCCATATGATCAATGTGGGGTGTTCCATAGTTAGCAGGTGTATATGGCCGCCCACCACCCTTAGACTTGCTTGAGAAAATTGAGCTTTGAAGAAATTTTCCTTAAAAGAAACCCGACTCACTAGAAGCGGCACTCTGCACAGCTGCGTTTTCGTAGGCGTTCGAAATAGACGGCAAATGGCCACCAAGCTTCATGCACTCGCTTTCTGCATCGGAAAACGTCATCATCTGGGCAGGAGTGCCGAAGTAGTAGCTGTAACGAATGTCAGAACAGTATCGTTTGTTACTCTCTTATCGCGTGGGCGCTGGTCAGGAGGTACGAGTTGCTAAATACTCTCGATTTTTGCGGTGACGCGCAGAAAATCGCTCGGAGCTTGAGACTGGTTCTTGGCTGCTTCGCGCGTATGCTGCGAACGCGTCAACACTTGCAGTGCCGCGTCACCGTAACTCCACTCTCTTACCTATATCTATGTCTCCTTGAACTTTATCACTCTTGCAAAAAGTTGAAACTCACTACGAAGTACTGCTATCGTAATATGCCGTTTCCATAAACTTTTTCATCCGTTCCT